TGGCTGTGTCGATGGACGTGAATACAACTGAAGGAGTTTTCGGAGTTCTTAAGTCCTTTAAGGGAGCAAAACAGTCTAAAATCTGACAGTATCAATATGTATTTTTTTAAGTCTCAGTCTTGAAGTTAGAAGTAACTAAGGACCTTACTCTGTTTTGCATTTATTCTTTAGTTCTCTTACTCATGATCAGTTTGTTTCCTTGAAAGAAATTTTTGTAGAAAATAAAAGTAATAAAAAATAGAAGGTCCAAATTCTAAATATTTTTGCACATATATCCTTATAGACTATTTTTGGTATACATATGTTTACGTTAAAGAAAAACATTTTAAAACCAGCTGACGTACTATACATATACATACTGTTTTGTAATCTATGAAAAAGATGTTAAAGGCTTCTTTCTAGCTTGATATATAGTTCTATCAATACTGTTAATAGCTGAATAGAATTTCATTGTTATGAATTATAATTCACATATTATACTTTATATACATGTAATTTAAGCAGTTTCATTGTTAGACATTTAAGTAAGTTGTTTGCAGTTTTTAACTATTATAAACAAGGCCTCACTAAACATGTCTTTATAAAGTTAGGTTACGAGATTTTTAAAATGGACTAGAAATTGCTGGTATATTTGTGTCTCCCCGTTTATATGGTTATGGTACAGAAATCTTTTCTAACCTGTTTATTTTAAAGAACTTTTACCTTTTCTCAGAATAGTGTCACCTTTGCTGTTATATTGTGAAATAAATATAATTTGAGATGGAAACTTGATTTACTAGAAACTGATTCTAGTTCTTGCCTTAATTTTCAGACAGTACCTGTAATGAAAAACAAAGAAAACAAACTAAGAGGAAACAAAGTTTTCTGCGCGGTGGGTTTCTTACCTAGTGTAGTAACTATTTGTTAAATGTTCACGACCTCGCCGGGTGTACCAGTGACAGTTCTAGGCGGTCATACTCTAGGGTAGGAGGGGCTTTTATGGAAAACAATTTTTGTTTTTGAATTGGCTTTAACTTCTTGTCTTCAAGTAAATGTAATTGCTGCTGCTGCCAACCCTGCCATCTGATGTCACTCAGCCCATTATAACGCTTTTCTAATTTTTTTTAATTGTAGAGAGACAGGTTGTCTCCTCCTTATGGGCGATGGGACTTGAGACCTATGTTAAGTAGCTTCAAATGACCCATAGACCATGACAATTCTTGGTTTAAGTCTTAATAGTAGATGCCTTTGTGAACATGCGTTCTTTGGCATTTAAGGCATGTCCGTGTACGTATTGTGAGGTGTAACTTTTGATGAAAAAATGGATTGAACTAGCATTTTCAAAATCACTTTTAAAGTATCCATAAACAGCATTTTACTTATACACTTATTTTGATAATGAATATATGTGATAACCACATTGCAAAAAAGTTATAGTAAAGGGTAGAAAAAAATAAGCAGCTACAATCCCTCCATTCTAATATAACTGCCATGGGCTGTTTCTTTCCGGTCTTTTTTCTTATATGTAGATTCTACATTGTTGTAAACAGACAGTTTAAACCTAATGTTTGTCTAAGGGAATATAAATGTAGATGTACCAGAGGGCTAATGAGTTAAAAAAAAAATGTACACCAGATCATTGATTACGAGAATTCTAACTTCTCATGCATTGATTCCTTTTAGTGCAATATTGTGTTGAGCTGTAAATAAAAGAGTACTGCTAATCAAGTTATTGGGGTTGTCATTTATTAGAAATGCAATATTAAAATTGTACAGTACTATCATTCTGAAAGGATCTTTATCATTTCCTTCTCTTTTGAGAATCCTACCGTTGGAAGGAAGGGGATTTCTGAGTGACTCTTAATTAGGGATCTCTTGAGTACCTTCTTCAAGATGACTAAGACACCAAGTCATGTTAGTTACATTGAAAAAAATGAGACAGGTCCATATATGAACACATACACACTTATCAAACTGCCAAAATGCTAATATAACTTTATATTAGTCTTTCAGGATATGTGTTCTGCATTCAGAGAATATCATTTCATGTCCCCGAGATGATAACCACAAAATTGTCACAGGTTTTTATTTAACTTGTGCCCAGAAGCCATTATATTTGTTATCAGGACACCTGTTTTATACTCCATACCAGTGACTGATACTTTCCCTTGGAGGCTGAGAATTTCTTCTTTTGGTTATTGGAAATTATTGGAATGAACGATAAAAGCAGGTAGAGAAGACATGTAAAGGAGTTCAGAGGTGGTTGAAAGGATTTGCAGTCGGACAGCCCGTGCTCAAGTCTGGACCCTGCCACTTCCGAGGGATGTGTAATAGGGACAGTAATCCCGCTCGACCTTACGGGGTACTTGTGAGGATGGCACGAAACATCTTAGGTGAACGTCCTTTGTAAACCGTAAAGCCCAGCACGTTCTGATGCTGGTACTCCTCAGACCAGACGGGAAGAATATTCTTAAGTAGGGTATTGGAATTTAAACCGCAGTAAGCATCCTAAGAAACACAGCAGCCTAACTGCGACACCGTTTCTCTTTCTTTCCAGTCTTCAAGCAGTGATAGTGGTGGCAGCAGCAGCAGCAGCAGCAGCAGCAGCATCAATAGCCCAGACAGGGCCAGCGGGCCAGAAAGCAGCTTAAACCACATCGTCGCCGGGTCCAGCCCCAATACCCCTCAGCCCATGCCCGAGCAGTCTGCACTATGCCAAGGCCCCTACTTCCACATCAACCAGACCCTGAAGGAGGCCCATTTCCACAGCCTGCAGCACCGAGGACGGCCTCCAACTTGACGGGCTGGCGGTTTCTTGCCTTCTGTGAAGGGACAGCACTGTGCGGATTTGATATTTCATCTTACGGTGTTTTAAAAAATTGCACAAAAAAAAAAATGCCTGTTGGCTTTTCAGTCTATATTTGAAATAACGGGTTAACAGGCAGTTGTTTACTTGTGGTTTTGCTGCACTATTGCAATTTCAAAGGGGCTTTGAAGCAATTTTTTATAGGATTCTTTTGAGGGTGGGTATCCAACCCATGTCAAGGTATGAGGAAATCTCATCTGCGTGTTGAATCCATAGTTTGTCCAATTCAGATCGATTTCCAAATCTGTCAATTAGAAATTCTACTTTATGTAAAAAGGCCTTTTAAAAATGCAGGATCTTCAGTTTTTTAAATTCAATAAACTAGTAAAGAGTATCTAGTTTCCATGAAAAAACATAAGTTTTTTTTTCCAAAATGTAGAAAGCTTGATTCAGTCTTGCACTGAAATTAATTGCCATACTACCTCTTAGTATGTAGATGTCCTGTTGAAAGCTCTCCTTTGTAACAGGAGAGTCACCGATCCCAGTGGGACTGTGTAAGTGAGGCACCCCCCTCGTAACTGTCTCCTCTCTTTGCTATGTATTTGTAGTTCCAGAGGGAATGTCCTTCAGACTCTTGTATACCCGGATACCTTCTGTTCCCGTCGTTCCTCCAGAGCCTGCGTCTCAGACTTAGCAGGAAACACTGCACAGTTCCGACAGTCAAGAAATATGTAATGACTTTTCGTCTTATTCACGAACTCGTTCCATCAGCAGCTTATGTGATCTCCTTGTAGTGTTGAGAATGAAGGCGTTGTTGAATGCTGACGAAAGTGTAAGTTACCTGAACTGATGTCTAAAGTCCCAAGTCTTGTGAGACTGTTGGACAAGGATTCACTCTATGCTTAAAGTAATCCCTAACGGCAACCAGGGGGCCGCGTCCCACCACTGAAACTGGAAGGACTGGTGCGGCTTAGAAACAAATGAGCAGAGGCACCCTTAGAAGAAACGATGCAATAGTATTTATTTACAGAGAGATGGCTATGTCTCCGTGTGACTTAGTCATACTAGAGAGCCAACCAAGTGTGAATAACGAAGGTGTAGATGAGTCATCTTCCTCACTGACAAGCTGTCTGAACAAGGAGCCAGGATGCGTCGGGTCATCTGCTCGGGAGAGTGCCGGGGGGACAACCTGCCATTGCATGTAGAGGAAAGTGCCTTAGAGTCTACCCACATCCTCCTGCCTGCTCACACCCCCCACTCCACTCCGCGTCCACACAGCACACGCAGGCAGAGCTGAGCAGCACGGAGAGCTCTAGTTAAGGGGATTTGCAAAGGACATGGGGACAGAACTACAATTTGAAGTTGAGAACTATTGTAGGAATAGGATAAATACATATACCTCCTTTCCATGGTTTGTTCTCTACTATGGATAGAATTGAAAGGTTAGTTACTTGAAGTAGAAATTTAGAGTCGTGGGGAAAGTTATAGCACAGACCCATGCTTACAGAATGGTGGTTTGTGCAAGAATTTTTTTTACTACCATCTCCCAAGTTTTAAAACCAGATGTTTGACAAAGAGTTTCGATCTTAATGGGTTTAATGGCAGGGAATATGGAAAGGATGCATCGCTAATATTCTGTCTAATGATAAAGCAAACGACAACTGAATGCTGTAAGAAGACAGGCTGAGCTTTCAAACACACGTGAGCACAGCACAGTGCAGAGATACCAGGAGGACTCCTGCAGGCTTAGTGGGCGGCAGCCTACTGAGACAAAACGTGTATTAACAAGAACGCGTCAGACTTGAGAAGGCAAGTTACCTTTTCTTTACCACCCAAGTAAAAGAAACGGAAGATGAAACCATCACCAAAACAAATCAGATTTTTTCCAAGTAAGTTGGATGATAATGCCGGGTTAGCAGTTCACTCTTTTACCCTACTAAAACCAAGAAATAATCTCCATCCTGTCCTGTGTATTTTCTACAGCCTTGGCAGCCTGAGGTACGTTTCTATTATGGGGCTACCTGACAGTGTAAATGGGCATCTTTGAAAACTTCTATCAGCTCAAGCTAGTAAAACCTTGTACTTCTATATTGCGCCGCCATTAAAAGCAGCATTAGTGCATTTTGTCATTCAGTTCTTTATCGATTATTTGAAGGGGAGCCGACTGGGTGGTTTGGTGGGAAAGGGGGACAGGAACAGGGATGAACCACTTGCTTTCTGCACTAACCTGGGGTTCTGACTCGATGCTTCTGCCGGATGATTTGGCCTTTCGAGTGCTTGTCATGCTCAGTGGAAGAAGTCCAAACCTCCAAGACAAGATGACAGAATTTGAGGAGCAGGAACAGGTAGCTTGGGGGCCCAGCAACAGCCTCTTAGAATCATTACCTGATCTGACTCGATGCCAGCGGAAGTATGTTATGGGGTTCTTGGGAGTTGAATGTACTGCTCCTGGAGGTGAACTGATTCTCCGTACCAGTCACCAATCCAAATAGAACCTGATGGACAAGAAAGGGGGTACAGTGACATGCTGGATTTCTTATTGTCCAGTTAACAGAAAATCACTTCTGTCAGTAAGCAGTTACTGCTTTCTTTTGGGGAATGTTATTTTGAGTGTTAATGCTTTAAAATGACTGTTTTCATTGCCCAGAGGTCAGCCTCTCAGAGTCACACGCTTCACTTTTACTTTACTCCTCTTTCTGAGGCCTTGGTAAAACCTAACTAATCCTTATCTACAACCAAAGGGGTCAGATCTTGGTTGCCTCAGTGGTGAGATTTTATTTAATCCTCTTTCAGTCTTTAAAGCCAAGCTCGGCTATTTGCGTCTTACCCCCCACCCCCACCACCTTCTGGAGCATTCAATGCTGGAGCAGGTTCGTTCTGAATTTAAGCCTGTGGCGCTTCATTCACACCGGGCGGTTTCTCACTTGACTTACAGAAGTTCGCTGCACCAGGCGATTAAGGTTGCTGTTGAGGTGAGGTGTGAAAACATCCAAGTCGAACGGGTCGATGAATGCTTCCAAGGAGTCGGCCACCTTCTCAATCCTGAAAAAAGGCATTAGGATACTCTTCTGCATGTTTCAGGGCAAAAACCAGTCTTCCAGTATTTTAATGCTATAGGTATCCTACGACTGGATTTGTTCTCCTTAATTGCTGACTTAGTACCACTTGTCACTATCATTGTGCTTAAGTAATTCTCAAGAGTTTTACCTGTAATGTCTGTCAAGTCCATCCTTATTGTTTTTAGGGAGGGCACTCGAGGCTCAAAGTATACCCAGCAGTCGGTGGGCTGACTCATAAAGAAGAGGAGTGCGATTCCACCTGTTACACTTGACCATGGAATTTATCCAGCAGGTGGTCATTATTTATCTTGCTGGTAATAAGAGGACTGACCGATCAAATGCAACTAACGTGCCATAAGAGGTCGACTCTGTGGTGACCCCGAAGAGGGCTATTTGCACTAGGAAGAGGCCGCACTGGGAGAGCCCAGGGGGTGCCGGTACCTGGAGTCCTGTTTGCTGCGGCTGCTTTTCACCTCTTCGCCCTTGGCTGTCAGAACAATGTTGAGATAACGTAGATCATAAAGCAGCTGCAGTGCCCGATTCTGGGTCATTGGGAAGGCGCCTTCTTTCTGCAAACGAATTCCCCGTCCCCACCGTTAAGGGAGATGACTCGATAACGTGAGCATAATAAACAGCCTCAGGTTTGGGTTGAGTTACAGCTTGTTATTTCAGAAGCAGAAGCTTTTTACACTCGTGTGGCCAGTTTACATTCGTGACAACACAACAGGTTGTTAGAAACTTGGTCTTAAAACTAAAAATCCTAACAGCAGCGGGGAGACTCTGCCCTTAAAAATGGCCTCAGGTACATAAATGATCATTTTTAAAGGAAAAAAAGTCCTTGCATGAAGGAGAGGCATCGTGAAGAAGCTCAAGAGAAACTTACCCTGAATTCTTTCCCAAATCAGGTGGTTCTGTCTCAAAAATACTACAAATGAAATGGGAATACACGGCAAGGCGGGAGGCTTCCCAGAGGGTGAGGGTAGTGGGGGGCTGGGAGACGGGAACCCCCTTCCACGAGCACCTCGTGTGCCACACGCTGCACTTCGGAATCCTAACTTCCACACGGTCCCCCCAGCACTCTGTAAGTGGCCACATTTGCTCCTGAGCACGTGGTTGAGTAGGGCAGGGCTGGGACGCACGTCTCTGTGACTCTGAAGCCCACGTCCTCCACTGTACCAAACTGCCTGCTCACTGAGGACCTGCCTGACCCCCGAGAACGGGCGTAATTAAACTCGCGGAGCTGGAAGCCACCACTAACCAGACAGCCTGGGCTGAGCAGTCCTGAATGCCTGAAATCCTTGGGCACGGCCCAGATCCAAGAAAAAGCTAAATTTTGTTTTGTTTTCTACTGGAAAAAACTTCAGACACCTACCTTCATGTCTTTTTCTTCCAAAAGTTTCTCATAGGCAGCTACTACTTGAACCATACAGCTTTTCAGCATCTCCTGCAGTGTCACCTTTGGCAAGGCATGGCCTCCAACTCGATTGATTTCCTGGCATAAGCTAAACAGGAAGGACTGCACATACCAGGACGGCTAAAAGGACAAAGCGACATCGAGTTGCCAACTTGTACCAATTAAATGAGAAGCAGCAGACGCGGACTCATTTATCCTCACCAGGCTTACACGCCAGGACCCTGAGCTCTCCAGTCAGCCCCTCGTACAGCAGACCAGGTGACAGATATGACTGATACTTGCTGTCATTTCCTCTGAGGCCCGGGGTTGACTTAGTAGGTGGCGCTGTGTCTCTTATATTGCTGTTTTCGCTCCAGGGTAAGTGGTTCTCTAATTAGCACAGAGCCTGTGCTACAAAAGGAATCACTGACTTCTCGAACAATCTATTTACTTGGCCCTACATCCACTCTGCCCCCCTGTAGAAAGTTATAAACATTAATTGCAGCTCTTCCTCAGAAGCTACAAGTCTGCTGAATGATTTTCTAAAACCCTTTTCCTTCCCACAGAGCAGGTTTCCCCCTTTCCATCCCACGGGCCCCCCGACAGCCCTGGCTCACCTGCGCGGGGAGTCGGATCTTGGAGGTGATGCTGCTGCCAGACTCGGCTTCCTCCTGGATTTCCAGTTCATCCCAGCTGGTGGCCGTGGCCAGGACTGAGCCAGCATCATCTGAGAGCAACGACTGGGTGAACCCATGAGCCAAAACCTGGTAATAAAAGGCAGACACCCAGAGAAGCCATGCAGATCCTGTAGAGTTGGTTTCAAACGACTGGAGTAACCCTGAAATCAGCTTCCACTGCTTCGGTCACGTGTGGGATGGCGAGTAGTAAATATCACTCTTCTTTTGCTGAACTACTGATATCAGCAATGGGAATTTCCTTGCTAACTACTCTATAAATGTCAAGGGCCACCTCTTAAGACACCAGTGGAAACTATAGGGAATATGACAGTTACGTTGGAAAGCAAGGAATATGGACCCTTGTCCAGCAAGAAGGTTTCAGTCTCATCAGATGGAAGGTAAAAAATCCAGAGTTTCTGTCTACAAAATCCAGGCTAAAAATGAAGGAAAAAGTTTTGACATTTGATCTATGTGGCAGAGATAAGTGAAAGAAACTGTATGAAATAAAACTTGTTATTCCCTTACTATTAAAAGACGTCACGGTTGGCAAGACCGGGTTATGATCAGCCAGGAGGCAAAATGAGGATGAGCTGGTGAGCTTGGAAAGAATACGTTTAATGTCACTCACCCTGACAACTGCCGAGCTCCAGACCCGGTGGCCCAGCAGACTCTGCTGGAGGAGGAGTTCCTTGGCTTCCTGCCACTGGGCCTGAGCAGGAAGGACTTCCTGAGTTTTCCCCTTTCCCTGTTTCTTCAGAGCCCTAGAATCCCTTGCTGGTTTCTCGGAGCTCCCTGGTTTTCCCAAGATGCACTGCTTCAGGTGAGGACACAGTTCTCCCAGTGACTGGCAGAGTCTGGCCATGAAAAGGACCGCATGCAGCTTGACTGCGCTGAGGGCTGCCTGCTGCCCTCGCACTGCTTCTTCAATGCTCTGCAGCTCTGCCCGGATGCAGTCCGCGACGTGCCTGATGCACGCCACCGAGTGAGTCCGCAGCATTTCCTGCACAGTCCCAGCATCTGCGTATCTGTCAAAGGCACAGGTCTTGGTTTGTGTGAGGGAGACATCCTTGGACAGTGACGAGTCACCAGAGGGAAGGTAAGCCAGGAGGTCATCCAGCTTCACCTTGAGTTTAGAATCTAGGGCAGAGCAGAAGTTCTGCACACAAGGGCTGACAGCCTGAGCTTTCATGGAGAGCCCGCTGCCGGCGAACTGCCCCCGGTTTGCCACGGGGACCCAGGCGGCGTCAGGAGGCAGGTCGTTAGGACTCTCGGACCAGAGGAAGGCAGACATGTTGTGCTCAAAGTAGATGTGTTTGCTTGAAGTGGAGTTGCTGGTGCTGCTTTCAAGTTCCTGCAAAGCTGAAACGAGGAGCTCTTTGGAGCTCGTGGAGATGGAGTCAAAGCCCTCTTTTGTCAGAGTCTAAAAGAGAAGAAGAAAAGTGTTCTAATCACAGTTCCTTCCAGGAAATCTGAAAACAAGAGCACTAAGTGGTCATCTGCCCAAGCATTCCGGAAGTTCTCCACCAGGCTTGAAAGATGACACGGGGCTGGCAGAAAACAGTCACCACGGATGGACATGGACGTGTTCCCCACAACTGACAGAGGCCTGGTTGCTTTTTCGGCGTCAGAATCTGGATCTCTGTTCATTGCTATGGTTCATTTATCCAAAGGAACCACCACCGAAAGCCATTCTAACACCCTGGAGTAAGTCACAGGGAAAGAATATACTTAGCAAGTGACAGGAGGCTACTCGGTCAAAAGATCACACTAGGACCGGCCATGAAACAGGGACCACATGACGTCCCACCTTACCTGTAATCGGTCGAGGAACAGCTGTTGCATCAAATCCTCCCAGAACAGGAGTGGCTTCTCCAAAAGCCGGCGACATATCACATCCCAGCTGTGACTGGTGGACTCGTTGGTAAGCAATTCCCACATGGCATCCCGGATCCCCGCGAGACCTTTCATGCTCTTCACGTACATAAGCAGGTTGGTGATCCCGTTTTTAATGTCCTCATTACACCTGCAACAAAGTCATTGCCCTTGGGCCTCATTGGAGTTCTGGTTTCACAGCTTTATTGAGGAAAACAGCAGGACTCCACGTGACAACCCCTTACCCCGGTCCCAATGTATAGATACATTGATCTCAGAGTGTTTCAAAACAGGTGTAAATGCAGCATTTCTGGCTGGACTGGCGGGGAGAGTCTAGCCCCTTCGCCAGGCCTACCTGCCAGGCCTACCCTTGCTTCCTCGAGGTCTCCAGAGGGAAGCTGCGAGCCCCAGACAATGGCTTCAAAAACAGTGCACTAAATAAAAGCTTAGGAGGGGCAGAACTCTGACATAAAGAGAATTTAAAACCCTCTGCGTAATACTTTGAAAGACAAGTTCCTTCCTGGTTCTCCCATAGTGAGGGGCTAATCTGCCATGAAAGGTAAGTGACAGGCGGCTGATTGAGCGGCTGACACAACCTATTGGTGGCACACGGAGCATCACCCAGGAGATCAGACTTGTCCCTCATCCCTCACTGGACCCTGGATGGCCCATGCAGGCTGGCGGGTGGGCCCCTGCCAGGCTCGGGAAAGCTCTGCGGCTTACATGTGGGCCCACTGCTGCAGCGTGTCTTGCAGGTACTCCTGGCTGATGGGGTGCGCGAGGGTCCGCAGAGCCGGCTGGAACGTGACGATGGACGCGGGCAGGTGTCTGAACCAGCTGCAGAGCTTCATCTCTCCTTGCAGGACACCGGTGCCCTTCCCTAAAGAGAAGGCCAGGTGAGGAGGAGTCGGGCCATCCTCTGAGTGCCATATTAAAAAGTGGACCTCGAGGGCATTTCCAAAAATCATCTGGTCTTCCCTGGGCAGGCCAGACGGGGCCCCTGAAGCAGAGGGAAAGGAAAGCAGAGAACATGCCCGGGCCTCCCGCTCTGGTCATCCTGTTGGTTGAGGAGAAGGCAGAGACGGGCAGGGAAGAAGAGGGAGAGCTGGGTGCGGTGCAGTTTCAAAGTAGAACAAACTATGAAAAGCGACGGTTTCCCCTTCCTCGCAGTCCTCCTACCTCCCTTGAAGCTCTAAGGAAAGGATCGACCACTCATCCTGATCACAGCTGTAACTCTCCAGAGGTGACCTTTCCAGAAGGACACGGCCTACGCGGTGGGACTCTGGGAGGCCCAATCATTATGTTCTGTGCGCAGGCACCCTCTGGAGTTGGCAACACGGGGTCCTTCTGAGGTCCCTTGTCCTTGTTTTCTAATGCCATGACAAGTTAGCCAGTACTCTCCTTTCGTGAGAGGGAAAAAGTACTAAACTTAAGCACCTAGAGGGAAACTGAGGCATAAGGAAGCGGTACCCTAGTTGAAAAATAAAGTAAGTCAGAGATGAGACCATATAATTCACATCTCTGTGAAAATGACCACATGGCTGTCGCCACATTCTACTCATTCCCCTTCTATCTTTGGCCAAGTCTCTTCCACCTGACCTTTGCGTTCGAGAGTCTCCTAAGGCACAGTCCTCTGTCATCTCTCTTCCTACTGATGATGTCATCCGTCCCCACGACTCCCAACAGCAGCCATGTGGAGAGCACTGCAGATGTGTGTCTCCAGCGAGACCACTCGCTGCTTGCTCTGTTCTGGACCCGCCATTGCCCGCTCGCTCACATTCCCGTTCCAAGGGCTCGGTCATCTCCAATGCAGTATTTGCAAGGGCGAACTAATCACCGGCCCTTCAAACCAGCTCTTTTTCTAGTAAACTCAGACACCTCCTTTTTATGCCCTCCACAGCTAACCCATCACCAAATCGTCTCCTTCAAAACAGATGTCTGAGTTACCTAATTAGCTCTGTCTCTACTGCCCCCACAGTCTGGGTCATGATAACAGCCTCCTAAGCGAGCTCTCAGCATCCACTCCAGCCCTGTGGGGATCCACTGGCACATCAAAGCCAACTGTACTTAATTCCAATTGGGAGAAATGCTACCAAATAAAAGTACAGGATGCAAGAGAACATGTAACAGAAGGGCTACCGAGCCTGGAAGGCCTTGGAAGGCCTGGGAAGGCCCTGGAAGGCTATCCGCTGTCCTCTGGATGGAGTCCAAACTCCCTGGCCTGCTCCCTAGCTCTGCATCACCCGGTGACCTCTGACCGGCCGCATCGCTCCTCATGCTGCTCCCAGCCTCGCTTGCTTCCTTTCAGTTCCTCAAATATACTAACATCCTGCTTGCCTCGGGGCCTCTGCACATTCTCTTCCCTTTGCTTGGAACTTTCTTCCTTGCCTTCTTCACCTGACTAATTCTTAGAGCAATGACCAATATTGATAGCAAATAGATATGTGTGTATTTGAGTTCAAGATCTGCCTCTACCACTAGACTGTGACCTCCACGAACGTGGGGTCCGTTGTTGTCCAGTTCAGAGCCTACCACAGCAGCTGGAAGATGGCGGATGCTCAATAACTATCAGTTCGCTGAACCAGAAGATAAGGCTAGCTCAGAGCTCACCGGCGGGATGCTGGCCTGTGATGGTCTCCAGAGTTGAGAAGAGCAGGCCACATGGCAGGGACGGATCTGGAAGCAGACCTTCTGGTAAAGTGTAGAAAAGAGCATGAGCCTGGTTCAAGGTGGTGGCCAGCAACTCCACTAATGAGCAAATCTGAGCCTTGATTCCAGCACCTACGAGAAGAAACCATTCTTATAAATAAGTAATTTCCCTCGGTCAAGTTAAAAACAAAACGCTCCCTTCTCCATTCCCATACCCACCATGGTGCGGCTGGTTGAGGAGTTTCTGAATAGCCGCCTTTCTGGCCAACAGGAAGTCTGTGAGGGCTTGGCGAGGAGAACTCTCTTCTAAGAGCATTATGGAGCACAGGGCCTCGGCTACAGCTTGGTCAGACATGGCTTGGCATTTGAGCAGCATCTTGCTTTCATGCAGAATGGTTGACCTAGAAAGATGATGACGAAGGTCAGCAGGGAAATCTTTACATCTTAGGAGAAGAACCTTGGTACATCTGGAAAGAAGACATATTCCATAAAACTGTAGTGGTGAAGCGTGGTCCTCACCAGAGACGATCTTTATGCTGGGTCCACTTACCGGAAGTGGCTGGCTGCTGCCACCTGCCGGATGAGTATGGGGAATCGGGAGAGGATGGGGCTGTATCGGGAGCCGGAAGAATCCAGCTGGAGCAGGCTGTGAAGGTGGCAGCAGAGCAGGTAGAGCTGTGTGGCATGGAGGTACTGAGAAGCCTCCATCGCGCTCCAGATCTTCTCAGGAATTTCTAAGAGGAGCTTGATCTGGGCAGCCATGCTGTAGAATTTCTCCTGGGAGGGCTGTAGCTGCAGGAGAAGGCACAGAACTAAGTCAGAAGAACAAACAAAAGCAAGGTCAGCGTCTGGCAGGCGTGGGGAGAAACGAGGAGGCATTTTCGGGTACAAAGCTTTCAGTGAGGCCGATTCAGTGCTGTTCAGCAAGGCATCAGCGTTCAGCGTAGCAGAATCCCGCCAGTTTTCTCTACCAGTTGCAAACATGTTTGTTCAGTCCCACGGAGAGGTGAAATTAATCTGGTCGTCTCACCGTCTGGTGATCAGCGATCCGGGTGATGTCTCAGGAGCACGGAGTCCTCCACGCCACCCCCTGAGTGCGCTTTCTCTTTCCTTTTTCTAATGTTCACTCTTCCCACATTTCCTTCTGCTTCTTTGAGTGCATCAGGTATGTCTCTGCTGGCTGTGCCTCTTCGCCAGCCCTCCACCAAACCTTCAACTGGTTCTCAGTCCTCATGCTTCTGTTCCTGTCTGTCCTCTTATTTCAAAATTCTCTTCCCTCAGACATCACCTCAAGCAGAACACTACTACCATATCTTTATTTTTAGTTTTCACCACTCCCCTGAATCCCAATCAAGCCTCTTCTGCTGCTGCCTGGTAAGTTTCACTGCCATTCTATAATAGGTATATTTAAGACTAAATTCATCTTCCTCGTAAAAATCTTAGCCATCTGACCTCCCTGTCTATCTCAGCATATACCACCACTCTGCTCCTAAATACCCAGAAATTCACACCCTTCTGGTGGTTTCTCTACAATCGAAGTTTCTGTTACCACTTCCACGATTCTAATGCAGGTCATTATCATCTTACACTTGGATTAATCTAAAAGCACTTCATTTTGCTGTGTTCATTCATTACTTCCTCTAATCTGTCCTTTTCCTTGCTGTCAAATTAACCTGCTTCAAAAGCCATTTAGATCACTTCTTTGCCTGGTTCTAAAAGACTCCTTCCTGGCGGTCAAGGGTTTCCTGTCCTTCCACTACTTTCTTCCAGGGACCCTTGAATCCGCTGGTTTTCATGTGTGGGAGAGAGGGGGTGATTACATCTCCCAGGAAACATCTGGCAATATCTGGAGATATTTTTGATTATCATGACGTGAAAGGTGCTACTGGCATAGTGGACAGAGGCCAGGAACGTTTCTAAACATCCTATGCATAGGACAGCTTCTATGACAAAGAATGACCCAGACCAAAATATCAAGAACACACCAAGGTTGAGAAACCCTCCTTTAATCAAATTGATTACCTGTTTTTAATTATCTTTACATATTTCAGGCCCACATTCCCAATCTCATCTGTCCTCAATGCCCCCCTTTACTGAGAAGGACCTGAGTCTGAAGTGACTTCCTGCAGAATTCTTATGGTAAGTGTATACAGTTATTTTGGGAATCAATCGCCATTATCTTAAAATGTTTTCTAGCGCTATTTGAAATTATTTACATTTTGCTTATCAACTTTCCAGGGATTTAATTCTCTGACTAGATTGTAAGCTCTGTCAGAGCAGGAACTGGGGGACTTCTGTTTCTTTGTGCCTTGAAGAAGGTACTCAAAGTTTTGCGGGTTTGATTGAAAATAAGCCAGATATAACAACTATAAAAATAAATACATTTCTAAAATCATGCATAGCTTTTTAATAAACCGTGAAGCGGGATTCAGTTATAGGAAAGGCTGGCTGTGTAAGGAAGGGGGTCACGTACTAATTGCACAGCTTGCAGAGAGATGAGGTTTCTCATTTCAAAGGTAAGTTATTTCCAACCTTCTATGGTTCTATTGTGCAAGACCAGGCTACTGACCTGAATCCTCCCAAAACCCAGGTTGTATTAAATTAAGAAGTTCCAAAATGGAGCTAAATTGTACTTTTGCAATTTCTTCTTCCATGTCGCTGTAAGGTTCTTCTCCCAACTTAAAAACAAATTCCTTGTTTACTTTTCTCACTCACACCCGCCCCTTCACGTTGTCATCCATAAGCCAACATTCTTTAGGAACACAAAACGCTGCTAGGGCGTGTTTAGTGCTGCATGCTTCCACACCAGGTCTAATCATTAGCATTTGGGCGGAAGAACGCTTAGGATAACCTGATTAGAAGAATAACCTTAGTTTCTCTAAAACGAAAAGGTTCTGCTCTTAAAAGATTACGGCTTGCTGGCTGGTACTAACCTCCAACGACGGGTAAAACAGCTATTTGGGGTCGCCAGAAGTTATTCCTGAGTGGGGAGGGAGTGGAAATGAATGACTTCGGGGAAGGTGTCAACATAAAGAAGTCTGTTCTAAGAATAACGTAAGGAAATGTGACATGGGAATGAGCTGAACCGTCTGGCGAGGGAGACCCCTGGCGTTTTAAGCTAACGTTGGACGGAAGGGACCAGTGAACCCACGGCTGAAGTGAGGGGGTCGAGTCCCGGAAGTCAGGGAAGGCTCCTGAGGAAACGGCCGGACCTCTTAGAGGATGGATCAGCATCCAGTGAAAGCGCTGCCGGCTGTCTTCCCTGTGCAGAGAAACTCAGAAAGCGGCGGCAGGCTCTTCCCAAGCGCAGGTGGGGATCCCGCGGGCGTGGGGCGGGGCCGACCCGCCCGAGTGGCAGGGTTGGGGGGCGGGGATCTGGGGTTCGGGACTGACCTGCGGATCCTTCGACGCCCGGGCTGCGGCCGAGCCAGCCTGACGGAGACGGGCACAGTACTGGTCGGTGGCCTTCACGGCGTCCACCAGCCCCTCGGCGCAGCAGCGCATCTGGCCAATGGTGTCGGCCGCCTCGATCAGGTCGCGGTACCGCTCGCCCACCATCTGCCGTAGCTCCTCTTTCTTGTGCTCAATCTCAGCCCGAACCTGGCGCTCCAGCCCTCGGATCTCCTCCGTTCCATGTGTCTCGAAAAGTGCCGCGGGGTCGCGCAGATCCAGCCGCTTCAGCGCGGCGGAGGTGGCTCCGGCCGCCATGGTGGACCCGTCAGCAGCCCAACAGGCCACTTCCGCCCGGCGGTCCGCCCCCACCCCCGCCATCTTGGTTAGGGGCGGAACTGTTTCCGCCCCGCTGGAAGCCAGGCTTGTTCCGGTGGGCGGTGCAGGCCTTGCGCGGCATTTTTTTATTTTTTAAAGGGAGACCACGTGGGTTAAATTTGCTAAGGCGTCCAGTGTGTCTGCGGACCCAGCCTCCCAGGGCGAAGCTCTTCCAGCTCAGGTGGAGCCTTTCCTGGTCCGAGTTAGTTGAGCGCCCGCCCCGCCTGCTTATCACGCTTCCTGGGGATGCTCGTGGCTCTTACTCAACCCATCGCAACCCGGGACAGTGGTCTTATTCCTGCGACGACGCGGTGGCACTTTTGGTCGGTCCCCTTTCCCTCGGAACCTTGGAGTCTTGCAGCCGTGGGGTGTCTTGGGCCAGCGGGGAGCTGGGTGGAGGCACAGAGCGCACCGCCGGTGCTGGACTGTAGCTGTGATGCACAAACTGAATACTTCGCTCCCTGCATGACCTGCTGGCACTTGGTGTTTAGTCTCCTCTGGCGTCTTTATTATTTGGTATTTTCTGTGTTTTCCAGTGCTAGTAAAAGAGAAGTTTGAGTTACTTTTTATTCATTGCAAAGAGTAGCTTCACAGTTGCCCTGAACTGGGACAGAGCACAGAGACAGGCTGCCCCCTAAGGCAGCGGTCCCCAACCTTTTTGGCACCAGGGACCAGGGCTCCTGTGAGAATCTAATGCCGGATGGTCTGAGGTGGCGCTCAGGCCATGATGCTAGTGCTGTGGAGCAGCTGCAAATGCAGATGAAGTTTCTCTGGCTTCTCTGTTGCTCATCTCCTGCTGTGCGACCTTTTCTTAACAGGCCATGGACTCACACCTGTGTAGGGCCCCAGGGGTTGGAGACTCCTGCCCTAAGGGATGTGTGTGTGGGTAGTGTTGTTTGTTTTTCTCTTGATTAATTTTCTGGGGTTTTCATTTTTGTTTCAAACCAGTGTTTTCCCACTGAAGATGGTTTCCCTGATCTATTCTTACACAAGTACCAGTGGTGGGGGGGTGGGGAGGGCAGAGAATTAAATACCACAATCCTGGGAAAACAACACCTGAGGGATGAAGGGTGTCTATGTGTGTGTTGGGGGGAAGGGGTGACACCTAACACTGACTGACTAATAATAAAGTTTGGGGAGTGTGGCCTGTTTCTTCTAGGTATTTCTAAGACACTTTATTAAAAAAATTATTATTGAAGATTTCATACTCATACTAACATAGGGAGATTAGTATAATGTGCCCACCAGCCAGGTTTCACACTAACTCATGGTCAGTCTCATCTACATCCGTGCCCGCTTCCTCTCTCAGCCACCACCTCCATTTGAGGCAAATCCCAGACATCAAAGAATTTCAATCTGTAAACAAGCCATTAATTTATAACATTCTAGTTTATCTCACAATAGCTCTTTAATGTAGAGAATATTCTCATTTTACAAGTGGAAAGCCTGGGACCCTGAGAAGCACTCGGGTTTACTCAGTAAAAGTATCATTTTCAAGCCCCGTCCTCTCAATTATCACGTACACACCGGCCCTGCGAGGTTTATAGGAATAATTCTACGCATGACAAAAACCCAGAAAGCTTCTTATACCTGCCCAATCACGTAGCTAATAGATGACAGACTCAGCACTTGGACTTTAGAAATTTGAATTCCTGGCTCGTGCCTTTTCTACTTTGTCACACAACTTCCCACAAACTCAAAAAACACTCTCTGGTGGCGGGTCTGCAATTCGCTGTCACTGCAGTTCCATTCTGTAGGAGACACTTGTCAGGGTCCGGCTGCCCAGCATCTGCAGAATCTCTCCTGTGTCTTGGGAAGTCCCTTCGTTATGGCGAGACCTTTTCCCCTTAGAGCTCCCCTGGGGGCGGCCAACCAGACACAACTACTTAGCACTTTAAATGGAGAGCTAGTAATACCAGGAAGCATGCATAGTGATTTCATTTTGATGGTGACAGAGGTACCACCTACAGCATCTACCCTCCAGGGGCAGCAGTGCCCAGCTACTGGTCCTGACAGTGGTGCTGGTGACAGCTACGGGCGACCACAATGACATTCTCACCAGAAATGCCGCGCGCTCAGGCTGGGTTTTGAATGTTCAGCTTCCCTTTGAGCTGTCGAAAATCTTGTTCATAAATTTTATTTGAAAGTCAGTTTCTGTTGCTTGCCCTAGAGACCTTACACTGACACACACACTCCCTTGACGTCTCTCTAACAGCAAGAGGGAGGAATGTCAACATATCAGTTAGGGTGTGGGGGCCTAGGGGTTTGTTTGAGGTGGCTCGCATTTGTGCACACACCTGTCGTTTCAGGTGTGCGGAGAAAAGGCAAGCACACCAGCTGACGTCTCCACCGCGGAGGGTGTCCTGAAGCAAAAAAAAACTGGTCAAGTTCATCGGGCTGCCCTGTAGGTGCCACTGTTGCCCTTCTGGCTGCAGAACTGAGTGCCTAACAGGCTGTTATCAAACCTTTCCCGGGCCCTGGGAAAGCTCTGGAGGCTGGAGGAAACGTGTCTCTTCCTCTCCTTTCCGTGTCTCTTCCCATTCCTTCCGTATTGAGGCAGCAGCCCCTTCCTCTTCAGCTTTCTGCTTTCTCTTCCTATCAAAAACCAGGGTTGGCAAAGACTTCAGCTTCAGCAGCTGGACGAGGCACTGTGCTGGGGACAGAGGGGTTGAGGTGAGAACTAGGGTGCCTCCTAGTTTTTTTTTTTTGCCATTGTTTTGTTTTAGTTTAGAGATGAGTGTGTGTGTGTGTGTGTGTGTGTTGTGTGGTGACTCGTCAAGTCTTCTTCCTTCTTAAATCTTTAGGGGTAGAATTTTAAACATCCAATGTTTAAGTCCAGGAGATCATGTCTAGATCATCCTGGAATCAAACTAAGGCATTCCACCAATGGTAATAGCTGTAATTCTGAGCACCATCTAGGCACTTTGCATGTATTATAAATATAATACAATAATCCTGCTGCATAGGTGGTCTTACACTCATTTAATAGGTAAAACAAGGTTTATAGGACCAAGTAACCTGTCTGAAATTACACAGTCAATGGCTGAGCCCGTCTTCAGAACCCACTTTGACACCAAAGTCTTTGATCTTACTACTTTGTCGTGTTGTTAGATTCAAAGAAAATTTCAGAACATTAAGAGATAGATGAGCCAAACCGTTCTGAGCAACATTCAGATGGTACCCACACTGCTTCCTGCCCTTTGCCTAAAGGTGGGTCTCGGCAACTCTATGGCAGTTTGGGGGCCCAAGCTGCAGTGGCTCTCCGGTGATTTGGGGGAAGGTAGCATATGGGGAGGAGGGCATGCCTGGTAGCTGAGTGCTGGCCTGCTGGAGGGCCATCCATCAAAACTGGGAACATGTTCTGACATTTTTACTTTTTCTGGTCCGTTGGCACTCTTGTCTCATCGGAAGATTGAGGGCGGAGGATTCTTCTTACCTTTTAATAGAACTATAGGAAGCAAGCCAGCATAAAGCCTGAAATAGAAGGGTTTTTGACAGATTTTTTGCAGACACCACATGTCCTTCTTCCTTTATGTAATATGTGGCTTAGTGCCTGGGATAGGGTCCTGTAGACCTTGGCTTCCGAGCGAGTCCATAAATATTTGCAAAGTAAATGAATGGTGTCATGCGTGTACGTCACATGGTCACAAAGTAACTGCTCAAAGGATGTACCAGAAAAGGCAAAAGGGTCCTTTACCATCAATCGCCTAAAAGTTGAAATGCTAAAAGCAGTAAGACAGTTCTCGCTTACATCACAGCCATTCCAGCGCCTCGTTTCAATGCCTCTTCTTTCATGTAAAGTGGCTGCTTTTTTTTT